GACTCCCAGATCCTCACCAAGGACCATCAATACGGACACCAAGGACTACATCCCAACTGCTAAGGAGACTATAGGGAATAGGAGTGCCTTCAGAGGCCGAGAACTCTGAGGTCACCCACCCCCATCTGGAGCCTCCACAGGGGATAGAAGAAGTCCAAACTCTGCTGTGTAGAAACCAGTGCCATCAGAACAATGGCCAGGAGCCCTGAGATCTGCAGAAACAAAAGAATAATAAACTTCCTTCGGGACTAAGGAGGTGAGCTCTCTCTGGTCCTTGCCTGGCTCTGGCTCTGGGTCCCCACCCTCCCTCGCAGTGACCATTAGTATTGCTCCAGAAACCCCTCAAAACAAACAAACAAACATACAAACAAAAAATCTAGAATGGACAGACAACAACAAGGAAAGCTTAGAATCAGACAGGAAATGGCCAACGTGGATCGGAACATGCCTCACTAGGTGGGACACAAAGATTAGTTACGCCTCACTAGGGTATTGGGTATTTCTCTGCACACCCATCCTAAAAAAGTGTTCTGTACCTAAACTGATAACTGTATGGAATCAGGTTGAATATAAACCAAAATTGAAATGTCTATGAAGAAGTCACAGGATGTATGTAGTTAAGAAACTGCATTTTCCTATCAACATACTATTAATCAATACTACATCAATTAATACCATAAGGTTGTAAATAGCTGATGATGTTATGTTCGGGCTTTTAATAGATTGGGATGATAATCTGCTGGCTTTACCTTCAGACCAGAGATGGTCTCACCAAGAAATCTTTGAACCCACTAGGATAATAAGACACTGGACTTTATGCTTGGTAAATACTTCCAATGAAAGAACCTCAACTGAATTTGAACTGTGGTAATGCAGCAGGTGGAGAAATCCACCATGAGGAGAGGGTTCGGGGAGGGGTGGGGGAAATCCCAGTGCCCATAACACTGTGTCACATAAGGCAATGCTATTAATAAAAAAAAAAAAAAAAAGAGTGCAGGGACAACAGTGAGCTGTGCATGAGCTGAGCTGGGAGTGAACTCACTGAGCTCAGTGCATTGCAATGGTCTCACTTGTAAAATAACACTGACTTAGGTATCTTATGACTCAAAATAGGTCCATGTAGCCTCAGGCATAAACACCCGCAGGTTCCAGTAATATCAAGCACCACCAGCAACCTAGCTATTCATCTGGTGTCTCTGCAGTCCTGGGAACTGCTCAAACTGGAAGTGGGAGAAAGGTTGTACAAACAACAGTGAAGCCTCAGCATGGTATCATAGGAGCTGGAGATTGGTAAGCCAGGAGCTCGGGTTACAGAGACCATGGTGGAAATCTAACACAAGAACCCAGACCTGGAACTTGCTGGAGGGAGTGGCACAACTGACTGCAAACAAAGAACCATGTACCAACCACAATAAGTAAAATCACATTGTAGACCTGTGGGTGACACAGCTTAGAACCGATTCCAAGGAGAATCCGATAACCAGAAGTACAATGAACAAAGGAAAAAGAGGAGACAGAGACACAGTGAATATTGCTGAAGACTCCCCTGCAAAGGAGCAAAACCCTATGCCAACCTCAGAGTTCACTGAGGAATATATTGAGAAAATGGGGGATACAGAATTTAAAACACTTGTTATAAAGCTTCTGATCAACAATGAGAAGCATGTAAAGAAAGCATTCAAGGAATTTAAGGAATATGTCACACTGGAAATGAATTGAATGAAAGCTGGTATATCAGAAATTAAGAACATAGTAGAGCAATTTAAAAGTACAGTGGAGAGTCTCCAAAATAGAATGAAGCAAGCAGAAGAAAGAATCTCAGAATTGCAAGGTATTTCCTGTCACCAGGGGAAAGCAAACAAAAAGCTGGAAGCAGAGCTGGATCAGGCCAAAAAAAATATTCAGGAATTGAAAGACACTATTAACAGGCCAAATATAAGCATTATGGGAGTCCCAGAAGGTGCAGAAAGAGAAACTGGTTTTACAAATATATTTAATGAAATAATAAGAGAAAATTTCCCTAATCTAGAGAAAAATCTAAGAAACAACATCCAGGAGGGGCACAGAACTCCCAACAGGCTTGATCAAAAGCGATCTTCACCAAGGCATATGATCATCAAGCTCTCTTCAATTGAACATAAGGAAAAGATCCTTAAATGTGCTTGTGAAAAAAATCAACTGACATATAAAGGAATGCCAATTAAACTCCCAGGAGATCTCTCACATGAAACTCTACAGGCAAGAAGAGAATGGAGTGACATATTCTAGATTCCTAAGGCAAAAAATTGTTGGCCCAGGATAACATATCTAGCAAAGCTTTTCTTTGTCTTTGAAAATGAAAGAAAATTCTTCCACAGTAAAGAAAAGTTAAAAGAATATGCCTCTTCCAAACCTGCCCTACAAATGATACTTAAAGATGTTCTCCTGACAGAGAAGAGGAATAGCACCTACCAAAACCAAAGATAAATGTGTAACATAAGAACAGTAAAATAACAACAGAAGACTAAATCAATGAACAACCCATTGCTAAAAATGACAGGACCAAATTACTACCTATTTGTATTAACCCTGAATGTAAATCGCTGAAACTCATCAATCAAATGTCATAGATTAGTAGATTTGATTAAAATAACAAAACCCATCTATGTGTTGCCTACAGGAGACATATCTCACCAACAAAGATCAGCAGAAACTGTATCTCATAGATTTTGAGTTTTTAAATTTAGTTTCATCTCTTCAAAACACTTTCTCATTAAATTCTTCATTGACTCATAGATCACACAGTAGCATCATTTTCTTCAAGAATGTTCTTGACTTCCTTTTTCATTTCTTCAGCAACACATTAGTCATTCGGCAGTATGTGACTTGACTTCATGGTGTTTTTAATTTCCTGTTTTCTTCTTGTTGTTGATTTTATTTTGTACTTTTCATTTAAGGGGATGTACAGTAGCTGTGTAATGGAGGCTTATCATATCAAGTAGCATGTTCTTTAACTTCACGGCATTGTAAATTTCTATTTTTCTTCTATTTTTCTTTGATTTTGTATTATGACTTTTCATTTAAAGGAATGTATAATAACTGTGTAATGGAGACTATCATATCCAAATGTGAGGATACAATGCAGTATGCATCTCTACTCCCAGACAAAGATGGACTCCCAATGAAATTGTTTGTTATATCTTGACAATAGGATGCTGGACTCTCTGTCATTGTCCATGCCCGCAATGATGGACATGTAACTATTTATGAAGAACTATACTATAGTAATAATATGGGGGGAATTCGGTTGCAGGGAGTAGGGAACTTGAGGAAGGAGTAAGAAAAATCTCAGGGCCAATAGTAATAAATGTTAAAAAGAAAAAAAAAGTAAAAGTTAAACCACAAATCATACAATCATGGAAGCTCAGACCCAACCAACCAACTGTGGGTCCTCCTGTTTCATTTCTGAGAGTGGAATCTTGGGGCTTCAGAAACCTACATATTTGCAACCTATGAATTTGGGGATTTAAATTCAGCCTTGGTGAGCTCTTTAAGATCCAAAAAAGAATGGATGTGTTAGAACTCCCCCAAAACTGATTGGAGAAATGGAGCGTTCGAACTGGGTCTGCTTCCCTGAGACAACCAAGCCCGTTACTGACAGTTGGGTAGTGGAAGAAACGGAGGAAAGGAAGTGTGTATTTTGGAGCTCAGAGCAAGGAGACACACGGCAATCTGTCCCTTAATTCCCAGGCTCCAGAGGAGGTTGGCCATAGAGGTTCTTAGGGAAAGAAGCTGAGGCCGAGAGGTGTGTGTTCAGCTCCGGTCCAAGCTTGTGGTGGGTCTGCACAGTGCTCCCGGTCCTCCTTTAGGTAATAGGCCATATTGCAACCTTTGGGTGAACTTTTGTGATGGCGAAATTGACTGGTCAATCTGGGGGCTATGTGCAAGACCAGGCACGTTCCTGGAGAAGTCTCTCGAGACAAGGGTGAGCATCAAGGGCCAGGCGCAATAGTTCAGTGGCAATATCCTTGCTTTGAACAAACCAGGAACCCATGCAGGTGTTGGTTCATATCCTAGCTGCTCCACTGCCCATCCAGCTCACTGCACGTGGCCTAGGAAAGCAATAAAGGATGGGTCAAAGCCATGGGACCCTGCACCTGCAGGGACAACCTGGAGGAAGCTTCTGGCTCAGCTCTGGCCATTGTGCCCATTTGGGGAGTGAATTAGCAGACAGAAGATCTTCCTCTCCGTCTCTCCTCTTCTGTGTATATCTGAATTTCTAGTAGAAATAAATAACTATTTTTTTGAAAACTTAAAAAAAAGATCATCAGAATGTTATCTCCTGGGGGACATAAATGATCTCCTAAATCTTATGTTCAGGGACTGGGACAGGTGGTAACCAGCTGTGCTAATGTCTCAATTCAGTGAGCTAATTTTACTATTTTACTAAGAGGTTGATTTGCAGCCATAAACCAGGGCAGGAAAACTTGAGCTAAGGGAAGCAAGCTGGGAGCCCCCTGTAGATGAAGGCCTGATTGAGTTAGCATCTGCATACAAGGCAGATTTCAGTAATTTTGATATTTTTCCCAAATAACCACATATACACCATCACTCTGAGCAAAAGTCTGGATGCTTGACTATTTTGGTTTTGTTTGTTTGAGAGGCAAAATTACAGAGAGAGGGTCATTCCCAGGAAGGCTGCAACAGCTGGGACTTGGATGGGACTGGGCTGAAGCCAAGAGCCAGGAATTTCTTCCAAGTCTACTACTGCATGGGTAGCCTAAACTCTTGGGCCATCTTCTCCTGCTTTCTCCAAGACATTAGCAGGGACCTGGATCAAATATGGAGCAACCAGGACTAGAACAGGCACCATATGGAATGCCACTGTCACAGGCAGTGGTTTTACTCTTATGCCGTAATTCTGGCCGCTTGTTCGTTTGTGTTTCTAACTGACCTGGAATTTAAAATTTTGTTTTTCTCTGAAAAAAATAAGAACACAAGCTTGTGCCTTACACCCTCAGGGTAGTAAGTAGAGAATCCCCCACCAAGGGCTCTTACATAGCATCTCAAAAGACCAGGCTAGCCTGTCCCCATCCCAGTTTCAGTATTTTCTTGTTCCTGGGGACCAGTGCCTACAAAGGTTGAAATGCCTGTGAAAAACTGGTCCTGGTCCTCACCTTCTCCTCCATTTTCATTCCCCAACCCTAAGAACGCCCCCAAGATCCCCAAACTAGAAGAAGTCCAACCTGATGAAGGTCATTCTATCTATGCCCAGGCAGATGGAATCTCTTTGAATTTATATCTAATAAGTTCAATAAGACCGTGAGTTTGTTGCCTATTTCTTCTCTCAATTTCTGTGCCTCTTGCCCAGCATTTGATGCCCCACTTTCCTGTGCCACCTTGCTAACATTCTCTAAGGAAGGACTGTGGTTTTAAAGGCCAGCACTTTGCTCAAGGCTGGCGCTGCCTATGACCGACTGCTTCCCTTTCTCTTCTGCGCTTGACTGCTTCAGGTTGAGAAAGTCATGCTCCAGGAAGATGATCCAAAATATCAGTGTAAGATGTATACATCTTCCACATTTTACAAAGGACTTCTTTGAAAACTATATACTTTTTTCGAAGATTCATTTGGTTTTATTTGGAAGGTAGATTTGCAGAGAGAAGAGACGGAGAGGTCTTCCACCTGCTAGCTCACTCCCCCAATGGGTGCAGTTACCACAGCTGAACTGATTCAAAGACAGGAGCCTAAAGCTTTCTCCTGGTCTTACACATGGGTGCAGGGGGCCAGGGGTTTGAGCAATCTCCACTCCCTTCCCATACCATGAGCAGGGAGCTGGATAGGAAGTGGAATAGACAGGACACAAACCAATGCCCATGTAGGATGCTGGTACTGCAAGGTGGAGGATTAATCTGTTGAGTCACCATGCCAGTCTCTACACAGAGCTATTTAAGAAACATTTATATATATATATTTATTTGAACAGTCAAGTGGCAGAGAAAGAGAGAAAAAAAAAAAACCCATCTGTTGATTCACTTCCCAAATGCCTGGGGATAAGACAGGCCAAACTGAGGAGCCAGGAACGCAACCACAACTCCCAGGTAGATAACAGGGATGGAAATACTTGAGCCATCATCCACTGCTTTTCCTGGGTACGTTAGCAAAAAGCTGGGTTAGAAGTAGAGTAGCTGGAACTTGAATTTCCGTAGGGATACAGGTGTCCCAAGCAGAGTTCAATCCACTTAGCACAATACCTTTCCCCATATAGAGTGTTTTAAAATAATAAGGAAAACTGTGTTGGCTTAGAAGAGCACCATGTTGATTGATTTTTCTCCTATAAATTGAATTTGATACTTAGAAGATGTTTTCCCCAGAGCTCTATTTAATGATGTTAGCTTATAGAGACCGCATATTATCTTCGTATAGACCCTCAGAACCTGACCCAGGGCCTTCCTTCTGAAACAGTACCAGCAGCATGTATCAAATCTCTTTAATGCATATTTATTTGAAAGACAGAAACACAGAAGGACAGAGATAGCAGAGAAAAAAAAATCTTCCAAGATACCTGCTACCATCAGAACACCTAGGTTCTAGTTCCAAGTCTGGCTCCTGACTTCGGTGTTCTGCTGTTGTGTACCCTGGGAGGCAGCCTCTGAGCGCAGGATTGAACTGCAGGCTCTCACTTTATGATTCAGTCCAGCTATGGCATTGGAGGAGTGAACCAGTAGTTGCGATCTCTCTGGCTCTGCTTTTCAAATAAATAACTAATTTTTTTAAAAAAAATTTATTTATTTTTACTGGAACGTCAGATTTACAGAGAAGAAGGAGAAACAGAGAGAAAAATCTTCAATCATCTGGTTTACTTGCCTGACTTGTGTTTTGTTTGGGAATCAATCTAGCTTTTTTATTTCCTCCTTCCTTTGTTCTTTGCAAAAGGAATTATTTAAAAAGTAGGAAGGTGGCAGATGAAGATCTCTCCTGCATATATTTAATGTTAAAGTTGAGAATCAGGCTACACAGATGGAAGGATCTTGTAGTCTGTTGGGTGCTACATGCACCCTGGGACCCATGCAGGTGCCCACCTTAGGCTCAGACCCCTGGGCATTCCAGACTGCCTAAGGTCTCCCCACCCCTCTTCCCACCAGCACAAGGTGCTGACTGATATGCCTGGCAGTTCTCAACCTAAGAATAAAGAACGAAGCATTTACATTTATTCCTGACTTTGTCATTTCTTTCCAACGCCCAGGGGATAAAACCACATTTGCTGGTCCTAGGCATGCTTTTTGCCCACATTTTTGTTCTCCTGCGGCCAGGTAGGAAACGGGTACAAGAATCAGAGCAGGTTGTTCATCTTTCATGCACCAAGCAAAAAAAATGACAGCTTACTTCCCAGAGGCACACAGGTGGTCGCAGCCCACTCAATAGTAGGAATACAACTCAAAACAAAGAAGTACTTCTGTTTCCTTATCAGAAAAATTATTCTGACACTTTATAAAATGATTAGGAACAGTTTATTGAAGATTATTGCAACGTGGGGTATAACCCAGCACCATTTGTGCTGGGCCAACTGGGGGCGGCGGGCTCATGGGGGCCAAGGGTACAGGCTTGCTGGGGTCCTGGGGATGTGGCCGGTGGTGGGGCCGGTACAGGGACCTGGGAGCTCACAAGCAGCCAGGCTAATGAGTCTGAGGATTTCTCCACGTGATTGGTCCCTAACAGGGTGGGAGGAGAGGCGGGGAGCACCCTAGTACTGGCCTGGTGTGTGGGTGCACCAGGTTTGGGGAACTTAGAATGGGCTTGGATCTTGGGTGTGTTAAGGGATAAGGTTCCAAGTCAGCACATGTGCCAGGAGTTTGGGACCCTGGCGAGCAGATGGAGCTCCAGGCCAGCACACTACCCCACCAGAAGACTTGGCTTTGGAAGGCTGCTCTGAGGAACCCATGCAATCCTGGGTCTAAGGACTGTAGATTGATCAGGGAAAGTGGCAGGGGGATATGTAGGAGGGAAGATACCTGAAGGAGTATGCTTCAGGTGAGGAATGACTTCTGAGTGACTTCCATCAACAAGGCCATTGCACTTGCAGGTAAACAAAGGGACTGAAACCCAATGGTTTGGAGTAGGGAAGCTGGAGGAACTTTCTGGGTCAGATCGATGCACCAGTCCATGTGGGAGACCTGAGCTGGGCTAGTTAGCATGAATCACAGCTGAACACCACTCACTGACACACATGAAAGCTAGGGTTGGGGGCCTACCTGGTAGGACTAGATCACAGTACCACCAGTGAGAGCTGAAACACTGGATGGATAATGTTAGGTTGGACCATGACACTAACCAGCATGCAAGAGAACCAGGTCTAAGGGCAGATTTGATGAGGGATATGTGCGTCTACTCTTGTGGAACCGCAGTGTCTGCTGATGGAGGTGACAGGCTGGGCTAGGAATGGCCAAGGAACCCTCTAACACTCATGGGTACTGGGGTTGGGAATAGGCTGGGCTAGTCCAGCCTGCAGCACCCACAGGCATACCCCAAAACAGGGTGTGAAGCAGGCCAGGCTGCAACATCTATCAGCTCATACAAAGGCCTGGATGGAGGGGACAGATTATGTCAGGTAAAGATTCGGCACATGCAGGCACATGTGAGATCTGGGTCTGGGAGTGGGTCGGTGGGGGAACTTGGGAAATTAGTGGTGGGCTGTAGTTCCCACTAATGAACATGTGACTCAAGCTTGAGTGTTGATTAGGCCAGTCAAGGTACTCCACCTGTCAGCAAGTATGTGGGTTGGTTCTAGAGGGGTATTGACCAGGCAGGGCCAGGCCAGCCTTATCGCACTGGCATGTGCAGGAGCCAGGCTGGAGTGTGGGCCATGCCAGGTTAGGGTAGGCTACCACACCTACTAGTTTGTGTGAAAGCTAGCGATGTGAGCAGACTGGGCAGGGCTATGGTACGGGACCAACCAGAAGAGTTGGGACTGGGTATGAACCAAGCCAGGCTGCCACATCCAATGGCAAAGGCCACTGGGTGAGGAGCTATGGCAAGCTGTGTCAGAGCAACCACTGGCACCTGCAAGATGTGTGGCTGGGAACAGGCCTGGTCAGGGAGCTAAGGGGACTTACTGACTGGGCTGTAACTCCCGCTGTTAAGCACAATAGTCAGAATGGTGGGGGGGGGGGAAGGCGACACACTGGGCTAGACACAACAGCAGTGTCCAGTGTCCCTTGGCATATGTATGGACTGGGTCTGGGGTGTATCAGACTGGGCTAGGCTCCAGAACCCACTGGTGTTCATGAGAGCCTAAGTGGGTATAGGACAGGCTGGGCAAAGTCTCGGCACCTGCTGAACATGCAAGAGCTGGACCTCGGGGTGGACCAGGTGTGGCTAGATTATAGCACCCAAAATAAGAACTGGAATGGATATGGAATGGATGCATAAGGACATAGTTCCTGCCAGGACAAGTGGTGCATCAAGTCAGACTGGGCCAAGGATCCACTGGTATGTGTGAAATTTGCCACTGGGAGGAGACCTGATAAAGGAGCTTAGGGAACTCCTTTTTCCCGACACAGTATCTGCAGATAAGTGCAAGAACCAAGGCTGGGAGCAGTCTAGGCCAGGCCAGGTTATGACACCCACTGGCATACGTGTGGGTCGGGTCTGGGGGCAGGTCGGGTTAGGCCAGTTGACAGCATACACTGGCAGATGTGAGACCTAGGGCGAGGTGCAGGACAGGCAGGGGCAGGCCGAAACACCAACTAGTTCATGTTAGGGCCAGGACTAGGGAGTGACTGGGCTAAGCTGTAACACCTACCAACATGAGCCGGAACTGGAGGCAGACAGGACCAAGCCAGACCATAGCACCTGCTGGCAAATGTCAAGGTCAGATGGGCCATGCCAGACTAGGCCGCAGCACTCACCAGCACATGTGAGACCTGGGGGATTGGATTTGTGATCCCGGTGGGAGGCTGCGGGGGCTCCTCTACTGGAACATTGCTTCCATTGGTGACTATGAAAGCTGGGATCAGGGGCAGAGAATGCTGGGCAGGGCTTCAGCACCTGTTGACCTGCATGTGACCTGCGTTATGGGGAGAGACAGGCCGAGCTAAGTGACGATATTCACTGATCTATACATGAGCCAGAGTAAGTGTAGGCTTGTCAGTCTCTGCTGCAGCATTAGCTGCAAATCCTGTCAAGCTGTATGCGGAACAACCAGGAAAATACAAGATCTGGGACTGAGAGTGGGCCAAGTAGGGAAACGGTGGACACCTCCCTGATGGACCACAACTCCCACTGGTAAGCATGAGAATCAGGGCTGGAGATAGGCCTGGCAGGATAGGTAGTGGCATGGCACCTGCTGCCATGAATGTAATTGGGTAGTGAGATTGGATGGATTGAGCTAGGCTTCAGTGCACATTGATGTATATAAGAACTGAATGGGATGTGGGACAGACTGGATCAGTCTGCTACACATACTGGTGAGCACAGGAACCAGTGCGCAGGGTGAGCCTAGTGCGAGCCTCCTGTGAGCTATTGGGAGTCTCCCAGACTGGGCTGCGGTTCCTGCTGGTATATATGAGAGCCAAGTGTGTGGCAGGCAGGTTTGAGCTGGTTTACATAGGAGACGGGGCTTGAAATAGAACTGACCCAGCAATTGCAACTACCAGAGTGTGTGTAGGCTGATGTGGGTGATAGACTTAGCTGAACCCTGTACTGGCAAGCACACATAGGAGTCAGGTCTGGGATCACTTCAGATGAGGTTTCTTTGGGGATCTTCCCAAATGAACCACTGAACTAAGAACTCCAACCCTGGGAAGAATCGCAGGATCTGTAGTGTGACCGTAGAGTACCTGTGTCAGAACTGGACCTCCTCAGTGGCTTAGACATAGCAGTGGACAGCACACCCAGCTGCACATGGAGAATGTGGCAGTCCACAGGGGCCTGCAGAGGACTTCTGGTGCCACAACAAAGGAAGGGAAGCAGAATGAATTGGTTAACTCCCAGGGAAGCACTGACAGCATATCCGGGCGAATAGAGACTCTAGAGTGGATTGTGTCAGCCAGTGGACCTTGGAAGGATTTTCTCATCCTTGGATCAGTGAGATCAACAGCATTTCAGAACTATCAAAACCACTCAAAAGAATCCTCAGAGCATATTGCACATCAGGGACCCTGGGATGACACGGGGTGACTGTTCCCCTTCCCAGAGTGCTGAGGTGCTTAGGAGGCTGAGTGCAACTTCCTTCCTCTTCCCACCTTCCCCCACACAGGAAGAAGAAAAAGAAATTTTGGAAAGAATGTTCTCACCTAGTTTCTCTTAATCCTCTACCCTTCCCATCCTAATCAGCTATGTAAACATCATCAAAAATAAAACTTATAGAAAGCTAACAAATTGATTTTTCATTGAAAGCAATTATTTGAAAGGCAGAGAGACAAAAATAGAGATCTCCCATATGCTAGTACGCTCCCCAAATGCCCAAGCAGCCAGGCAGATGCCAGTTAAAACCAAGAACCGGGAACTTCACCATGGTATTTCACATGGGCAGCAGGGCCCTAACTGCTTGGTCTGTGGCCTGTTGCCTTCCGGAGTGTCCCTAACAAGAAGCTGGAATTAGCGATAGAGTAGGGAGTCTGAGATGTGGGCTTCCCAAGTAACACCTTAGCTCTTCACCATAAGCCTGCCCCGACTCCCAGGTTTTCAGTCTGTGGTTGGTTGAATCCAGAGAGGTGGAAATGACAGACGTTGAGAGTTGACTGTAATTTTAGAAAATAGCTGATATTCCAAACAGTAGAAGATTACTCAATGCTAAAAAGAAATAAGCTCTTGAGCCGTGAGAAGACTGAGACAAACTTCCTGTTGAACTCTTCTATGACTCGAACATGGCCCTGTTTTTTGAAAATGCACTAAAACTGAATAAGGATTACTTTATATCAGAGAGATCCACTTAGATATCTAATTAAATTGCTTCTTTATAGTAACACGTTCTCAAAGAGCTTAAGTAGCTAGTACAAAATGAATTTGTCTCAGAAACACATTCATTTGAATGTTAGACTGGTAGCAAAATAAACATGCAATGACAAGAGGCCCTCATTTTGTAGGCAGATTCCTGAGAAAATAGGAGAGAGATGATAAATCAGGATTTCCAAAGAAAATTTTAGGAGAAGGAAAATGAAGTTGTAATTAACTTTTGGGATTGACTGCTAGATTTGTCTTCCACTTGACCCTGGCACAGACCTCTCAGTGTGTGTATGCTGCCAGGGGGAGGGGTGGCTTTGGAGCATCCCTCAGAGCCCCTCCCCCCCTTGACCCTGGCACAGACCTCTCAGTGTGTGTATGCTGCCGGGGGGAGGGGTGGCTTTGGAGCATCCCTCAGAGCCCCCTCCCCCCCACCTCACAAAGAGAGTTTTGGATTACTATGACCTACCGGCCTCGGGCACTGGGCAGGTGCCCTCCTGAGACAATAGATCCTGTGTCATTGGCACCCTCATAGACAGAGGGACAGAGGTGTGACCCACTCTAAGTATAAAGCTTCTTTCTGATCATTTATTGTCCAGACCCAAAACAAGGAGGTGATGAAAAGGACATAGAGTACATTTCCTGTAATTTTTAAACGGGGTTCAGGACCACCTCCAGCTGTGTCATCTTTCTCTCTGGTCTCTCTTCTCAAGGAGGTCACGACACCTGCTTCTACAGGTGCTTGTTCTCTTCCTGGAGGGAAGGGGCACCCTTGTCTCGACAGGCACAGGGCACAGGGGAGAAGCTGAGTCTCCTCCACCGCCCCAAGTTATCCCGATTTTGGCCAGTCACCCTTCTGCACCAGTGTCCACCCCTGAAATCCAATTTAGTGAAAATACAGTCATCTCCCTTAGCCACAGTTTTGCTTTCCGCAGTCTCAATTACCCACAAGCCAACCACAGTCTGAAAATATGAAATGGACGTTTTTCAAAAATAAATACTCATCGATTTTAAATTGTGTGCTGTTCTGAGTAGCTGGGGGAAGCCAACTCACTCGGTTCTGCCTGGTGTGGGAATCAGCTCTTCGTCCAATAATTCCATGCTGTATACACTACCCTCCCCTTAGTCTGACAATTGCCATTACAGATTTACATAGTCTGTCTTGTTATCACAGAGCTGGTGTTCACATCACCTTTATTCACTTCATAAAAACCCCCAAACACAACAGTAATGATGTTTGATTGTTCTATTTTATTAGTAGTAGTTGTTGTCAATCTTACTGAACCTAAATTATAAATTAAATTATCACAGGTATGTGCTTATGGAGACAAGCATAATATACGAGGGAACTTCAAACAGTCCATGGAAAATGGAATTGAAAGGTAAAATTTTTTTCAATTTATTGATTGATTTAAAAGGTAGAGTCCCACAGAGAGAGACAGAGATTTGTTATCCACTGGCTCACTCACCACATGACTGCAACATGCAGGCCTAGGCTGGGAGGAAGCCAGAAGCCACTTGGGCTCAGGCACTTTGGCCATCTTCTGCTGCTGTCCCAGACACATTGGCAGGTAAAATCACCTGGGAATGTGTTAGAGGCAAAACATCCTAGGCCTCAGACTGGGATTCCCTGAAATGAGGACACCGCAGGCTGTCACACCAACATTCCATATGAACATCAATCGGAATCCCAGCTGCTGCCCTTCCAAACCAGCTCCCTGCAAATCAGCCTGGGAAAGCAGCCAAAAATGATCCAAGTCCCTGGACCCCTGTGTCCATGTGGGAGACCCTGATGAAGCCCCTGGCTTTGGCCTTGCTTAGTCCCAGCTTCCGGAGCTATCCGGGAAATGAATCTTCAGACAGAGATCTCATCTTTAACTAGACTTTTCAAAAATAAATAAAACACAAAGACACTCGCATGCCACTTTAGAGTAGCTGAGTTCAACACCTGGCTCTGAGTGTGAATTCAGCTTCCTGTTACTGCAGAGCAGTGTGGGCAGTAATGAAGGCTCAGGTGGATGTGTCCCTGTCTCCTACATGGGCATACTGTATTGCATTCCTGGCTCCTGGCTTTGACCTAGCGTAGCCACCTAAGTGTGACATTCGGAGAATGAACTTTCTTTCTCTGACAGTGCTTGCAAAGAGAGAAAAGAAAAACTTTTAAATTATCTAAAAAGAAACAAGAAAACATTCAAGCATGATAACACTGTTATGTCTGTTATATGTAAACATTTTAACTAAGATTTATAAAATAAGGGTAGACTCCACAAAGTAAATCAAATAAATGGATTCATATTTTTGTACTAAGGAATAGCCTACAGTACCCGCAATTTTAAGTAG